CCCCTCACTTCATTCCAGGGAGATACGTCAAGTGCCTCGGACTCCTCCCTTGGGCGCTTCTCTTCAGATCGACCCCCAGACAAGTCTAGTTCGATCACGGGGGTGGGGACTGCAAAAGACTGCCCGGAGTTGCCTTGAGCCTCAGTTCGTGGCACCGTAGGTGTCACCGGTTCAGTTCCCACCACAGTCTTGAGGGCGTGAGCACGGCCCTTGGACTTGCGCTTCACACTTCCAGTGAATCCACACACCATTGCTGCAAAATAAATACGCATAAAATTAGAGATCAGAGGGTTGTAATCAAGTAGCCCTGATTCTAGCAGCAGCTTGTCTGTGACCAAGGTCCCGATCTTCCGGCCCCTTGGGAAGTTGTCCTTGTAGTATTTGAGGGTGTCGAAGGTGGCTTGAGCGAGCTCAGGAATCGGCTTAATTGATACTGCACAAAGCAAACGAAAGTTCGAGTTAGATATGAAAGTCAGGAAATTAAAAGAAAAAAGAAAGAAAGAAAGACTTCATACCTAAGTTCTCAAACCTAGTGGGAACATCAAAGAAGGCGTGACCAGACTCGTCCTTTGCCAGCCACTCTCCAGAGGCAAAGAACCACTTTCCTACTCATCCTTTGATGGAGGTCGGCCCCTTGACTATACCACCCGTGCCTTTCCTCGCGCACATATAGTACCAACCTGGTTTTTTGGCTATCCTCTTGGCCTCAAAACACCCAAGAAGTTGGTCAACGCTTAGCAGCTCGGCCTCATCCTCGTCCCGAGCTCGCAACCAAAAAAGAATGGCTAAAGCAAAAATGACACCCCACCCATTGGGGGCCACTTGAGCAGGAGCCAGTCCAGTTCGGTTTAAGAACTCTTAAGCAAAGGGATGAAGGGGAATTCTGAGGCCATACTCAAACATCTTCAAATAAAGAGTGATTCATCCCTCTGGAGGATTGTCAGCTCTTTCCCCTTCCTCCGGGATCCTAAGTAGGATGTTGTTTGGAATTTTAAACCCCCTACGAAGGGGTCCGAGATAGTGCTCGGGCATCCTAGAAGGGTACTCCAGACCCTGGCCCGAGGTGGAGGTATCACTATCCTCTCCATCATCTGAGAACCTAAAGTTCTCTATTTCTTCCAGCTCGGACTCTAACCTACGAGCTAAGACCTCCCCAGAATCACTTGGTTTGGGGGGTGAGCTACTTATGGTTTGACCTACGCTACCCAAGCTATCACTACTGGCGGGGGAAGACAGGAACACCACCATATTCGAAAAGAAAGTAAAAGTGAAAATGACTGACCTATAGAAGGTTCGAGCTGGTTTCAGATCGAACTCCAGAAATTCAGGAAACGTAGGGTTTGACCTGAAGTTTCGGGACTATTTATAGCTGATCGAAAAAACCTCTACGCCGTACACGTGTAATCAACGAGCGGCTAGGATCTTCTCTAGATACGCAACGGCGAAACACTTGAGTGCTCCGACAACCTGGCAGGTCGAAACGTCTTCCGCAACGGTCATATTCCCTCTACAAATGAAAAGTCGCCACGTGTCCAAAATAGATTCGAATGAACTTCTCTGTCAGGTCGAGATTGAACCTGACAGAGAGGGGGCCAATGTTTGGGGGTAAACGTACCCGAGACACGTGGAGAACCCTTATTAGTGTTTGAAGAAACCAATTAAAAATGATTGCTTAGGTCCACCTCGGCCCCGCCGAGGAGACCGGGTTCGCCCGTTATAAAAGACTAAGTATGGGCACCAAGGTTCGACCTGACTAAGGTCCGACCTGCTCGGAACCCGATGGGTCCAATATGAGAAAAGACACATAACCGCCAGTCGTGTGTACTGTCGGATCCATCACCTATAAATAGAGGACTTCATTTCACGCTCAGGGATCGAATCTCACCTCGAACAAAATACGGAGTCCGATCTATACTGACCTGAGCGTCGGAGTGCTTACTCTCTTGTGCAGGTCCACTCTAGTGTTCAGGTCAGAACCGGAGACCGAGTTCGAGCTCGATTCGTGAAGAACAGTTGTGCAAACTCCTGCATAAACAAAACATAAATTGGTTTTACAATCAATCTAGCAGAAAAAGTCAAATACAATAAATAAAGTTTGACAATCAAAACCTAATCCAAAAAGTTTCATCTCCAAGTCTTCATGAAATATTCTCTAATTTACAAAAGCTTCCGAGAGAGAAATTGAAAGAACCCGAAAAAACAAATGACAAGTAAACGTATGTGAACAAAAAGTTGTATACTTTTTAGCAGTTAACTTAATCCAGATTATTCCTATAAATGCTCAAAAACTACTTTGAAAGCCATAAAAGTGTCTAACTCGCTCTACATGTCTTAAACTCACCAAACCAAGCATCAAAGGCAAAACAAACATTCATGACTCACGTCTCACACTCACCAATTCCATTCAAATTTAACAAACCCATCCAAACAAACTTCAAATTTAAAAAACTTACTCTCACTACCTAAAAATCTTTAAAATATGCACACTCACCAATTCACTCCAAATTCAACAAATTCGTCCAAAAACACTTCAACTAAGGGAAAAAAAAACAAAAAACAAAAGTTGCCAAAACTAACTAAAAATCATAAAAACATCATTAACTTACTCCATATCCCATAAATTTACCAAACTAATA